GATGTTTGATTTAAAATGAGAAAAGCCACCTAGGTGCTGGACAGTGGTGGCACACGCCTTTAATCCCAGCACTCAGGAGGCAGAGGCAGGCGGATCTTTGTGAGTTCGAGACCAACCTGACCTATAGAGCGAGTTCCAGGACAGCCAGGGATACACAGAGAAACCCTGTCTCAAAAACAAAACAGATCACCTAAGGTATTTTTCAAGCACTGGCTTGAAAGCCACTTTACCACATCCACTGCTCTCTTGCCCACAGGAACATCCAATTGATAACTAAAACAAGATGAAGCCAAACTTGGCACTGCGTGTCTATACTCCTAGAAGGCTGAGGCAGGATGATGGCTGAAAGTCTGAGCCCAGCCTAGGTTTCACAGCAACACCTTGTCGCAAATAACTAAATAAGGGTGAAAACTCTAGGAACTTCCGCCGTCTGTGCCTGTCTCCTTTGCTACCTTAACCTCCGGGTCAGATCCTGCTGAACTCTGCACGTAGACGTATTAGTTATTTAAAGATTGTTTGTCTGGACTCCCAGGACAAGAGCAACTTACCCCAGCCCCTCTCCTCCCCAGTCAAGGTTAAAGACACCGAGGTAAGAGTATCTAAGACGTTTTCAAGATCACAGCCACGTCACTGCATGACCGACCGCGCATGTATCAACCTCGTTTCTCCATGTCCTATTCCAGATCACGGGAAAGGCACAGGGAAGTCTCGATCCATCCCTAGTCTAAGAGCCTCGTCTTCTCTTCCTTGTTTAAGGTAGAAAGACTACTGGGTTAAGGGGATGCCTATGTTACCGTATTCCCGTTTTCCTGGGTTTCTGGATTAGATCTTTTTACTTGTTCCCTGGGCTCCATTCTGAGTGGCTGAGCGAGCAATCATCTTGGGTTTAGTAACTAACTCACGCTGGCCTCAGTCTCCCTTTCCACAGAACACTAGAGAGCTCTCCAAGCCACACCATAAAATGGTGGTCTGACCGGAGGTGTGGTTGCTACAATTCTCATCCCAGAAGCAATTCCAGGAGGAATGGGGAGATCCGGTCACAGGTCCTTGACAAGCGAGTGGTGTCCAGGGGCTGGAGAGATGGCTCAGTGATTAAGAGCACTGACTGCTCTTCCAGAGGACCCGGGTTCAATTCCCAGCACCCACATGGCAGCTCACAACTGTCTGAAGATCCAATTGCAGGGGATCTGACACTTCACATCCATGCACATAAAATAAAGTTAATAAACCATAAAAAAAAATTTTAATTATTTAAAAAAAAAGTGATGTCCAGACCCTCCTCCGCCTCAGCACAAAGAAGGGGGAAGCTTGTTCGTTTGCATTCAGCCTTTTGATGTCGGTTATTCTGTCCAATACCAAATGGAGTGGTTAGCCTCTCCGAGTGGGGGAAACCTCAGAGGCAGCAAGATAAGTCTGGTCTTGCTAGCCCAACTGACTGTCCAAATCCAAAACTGAGAAGCCCACTTCTATGTAGCACCAAAAGAAATCAGAGTTCACAGAGCCAACCCCCTGCAAGGAGGCCCCATCTCCCTGCGACTTGGGCCGATGTGCCAGGTACAACTGAACCATATTCAGCCAGGTCCCCTCCAGGTCACACAAAGTCCAAAGCTCTGGAGATGGCTTCAGAAAGAGGAGAGAGGCCCAGTCTGCCGGCCCAGGGTCCCAGAGGGATGAGGAGTTCTCTAACAGACATGGGTCAAGTCCAGACACTAGCCCTTAACATCCCTGGTCTCTGTTTCCTCATTAGCGAGGTGCGGGCACAGGCAGGATTAAACAGCTGGAGCATGAGTGGACCAAGCACAAATGGCCGGAGCTGCCCCCTCCGCTTTCCCATCTGTAAAACGGTTTAATAATAGCCCCTTTTGGGTTACCATGAGGCCGAAATGACAGTGTGCCTTTAAGGAGCTTTGAGAATTGCCCTTGGACGTTAATTACTGGCATCATGACTCCCTGACCCATACTTACCAGATTCCTATCCAACAGGGTGTCAGGAAAGTGGGCTTCTGTCTTTTTATTGCCATGGAAAGTGACCATTTCTTCCAGGGGACCTGCCTGGCCTTGCCTCCCAGCCCTAGGTGTGTGGGGAGGGCAGAGCGCTGAGAGCGAGTGGCTGTCACGTGGCCTCTCACCGGCTCCTTCCTCCTCTTCAGAACTCTGTCTCATCTACTCTGCAAGTGGCCCACACACATCAGAGTTTCCCGGGGAAGAAAGATCCAACTTATGGTCTCCCCACCTAGCTTGGGCTTCTCAGAGCATAGTCCCTAGCTCCGACCCATTCTGACATCTTAGCCTGAGCATTGCAAGAGGCTCCACTGGAAGTTGAAAGGTTCCTGAGATGTATTTCAGAATCCCCAGGGCATCGTTTCTGCTGCGTTTCATTCAACACACAAATCATTAAGATTGACTCAGCTTCAGGAGGACCACGCATGAAGGAGCTGCCGTCTGATCTCCACACGTATGCCCTAGCATAGCCTCACTCTCGCACACACACACACACGTGTGCACACAGAGAAATATGCACAATGTCAAATTCTTTACTAATCTGTAGTTTACTCAGCAGTAAATTGCAGAAAACTTGTCTGACTTCAATCACTTTATATAACAAGTCTTCTGTAGGTAGTTTTGGGTTGGGTTGAGGGCCCAGGGAATGTCCTTTCCTTGTGTTTTTTCTTTAAACCCACAGCACACCATCCCCTACACTATGTTTGTGATTCCTGGTCACAACATGGCTGCTATGCCTCCAGGGCTCAGTGTCCATACTCTAGGTGGATGACAGAGTGAGTGAAGATGAGACCGGAAAAGCTTTGTCCTCCAGAACCTCTGCCTTGTTAACACAGCAGTCATGACCCTGCGGACAGGGCTTTGCCTACATCTTTTGGGGCTCAGCAAAGTAATATGGCTACTCCTAGCTGTGTATGCTGACACCTTGGCTTTTTTTTTTTAATGAAAAGAGGAGATGGATAATAATTATAACAACACAAAAGCGATGCTCTCCTGGCTGCTTGTTTTTTCCCCAGGAAGCTCTGATGTGTGGGGGCCTCCTGCAGAGAAGATCAGACAGAGTTCTGAAGAGGAGGAAGGAGCAGGTGAGAGGACCACGTGACAGCTCTGTCCTCTCTGCTCACCTAGGGCCGGGACAGGCCCCATCTGGAACAAATGGTCTCTTTTCATGGTAATAAAAAGAGAGAAGCCCACTTTCTTGACAACCTGCTGGAGTGTCAAGAGAGGGATCCAGTAAGCTGATTGTCTCTGTTAGGTTTTCTGTTGCTGCGACAAACACCATGACGGACTGCACGTGAGGAAGAGTTTGTTGTGCTTACACTTGTGCTCTGTGGTCCAGCACTGAAGTCAGGACAGGAACTCAAACAGGGCTGGATCCTGGAGGCGGGAACAGATGCAGAGGCCATGCTTATTGCCTCCCTCCACACGCCTCCCTCCCCACGACTTGCTCAGCCTGCTTTCTTATAGAACCCTAGACTACTAGCCCAGGAGTGGCCCTGCCCGCAATGGGTTTGGCCCTCCCCATCAATCACTAAGAAAATAGGCTTGCCCACAGCCGGATCATTTTCTCAGTCAAGGTTCCCTCCTCTCAGATGACTACGGTTTGTGTCAAATTGGCATAAATCTAGCAGCACACTGATGGTTCTGTGTGAGCTTCAGCCACACAACTAGCACCAAGTGCAAAGCACGCTGAGCAAGCCCCTTGAGGGATGGTAGCCTGCAACTGCCTGAGACCCCCACAAAACCATTTCCAGCCTACCCATAGAACCATGAGAGATATAAATGTATGTTTTCGCCTAGCATGTCTTAGAGTGGTTCATTCTACAGCAACAGGTAGCTAGGAGGACATCTGAGTCACTGAACCAAACTTGAACTGACCATCAAGATGTCTAATGCTCAGATGCCAGTTTAGTTAAGTCATCACAGATCGGGCCTTGCGTAACCTCCGAATGCTTGTATGACTGGTACAAAATCCAGTAGCTATCAAAACCTTTCAAGAACAGTAAATTAAAAGATAAAATTGGACGGAGGTAAGGAAGAGCCTTACCTCCTGGGGCCTGGTGTTTATAGGCTGGAAAGCTGGTGAACCATGTGCTCAACTATCACCTGATTGCCATGGGATATATAGCAGCTTAGGTTACATTTTTAGGGGAAATGGCAAAACATAAGAATTCTTGCCTTGAGCAGGCTCCTAAGAGGCTTTAGCAGAGTTCAACAGGGAGAGAGTGAACTCAGAACTGAGCTAGCCAACTTGAAAGTGGGTAGGATAATGAAGCTTTCTGAAAACGAGAACCCGGCCCCAGGCCTGGGATCTGACAAGGAGCCCTTAATGAAACTTGGGGCTGGCTAGGCCAGCGCTGCTCCCTGAGCTGCTCTTGGAACCACTCACCCTTCAGTCTCAAATGTTAAGGGCTGTTCTATGTTCTGAGATTTTATCCTCCCTTCTCTGTTGAAACTGGGGAGGGAGGTGAAATGATTGTAGTTGTAGGCGGTATTCGTCTTTTTGTGGTTTGGGGAGGTTTTGTGTGTTTTGTTTTGTTTTGTTGTTTTGAGGCAGGGCCTTACTATGTAGACCAGGTTGGCCTCAAACTCTGGAGACCTGCCCCTGCCCTCTGCCCCTGCCCATGTCCCTGCCTCTGCCCCCTGCCCCTGCCTCTGTTCCCTCCCCCCCCCCCCCCCCCTGCCTCTGTCCCCCCCCCCCCCCCGCCCTGCCTCTGCCCATACCCCTGCCCTGACTCTGCCCCCTGGCCCTGCCTCCTGAGTGCTGGGATTAAAGGTTATACTACCATGCCCAACCTGCCTTTTAAAATATTTTTCTTAGCAAAATGTTATCAGCATACCCCAGTTCCCCAAATCTCATTTTGTGAACTCCCAAAGAGTAGACCCTTCGACCTCAGGAGAATCGGGGAGCAGAAGGTGTCGGAAACCAGAGCACTTTCTGTCTCCAGCCCTTTAACTGATCCATCCAGGACACAGAGCATCACTGAGTCATCACGATGTTGTCCATAAATGAACAAACAAAAGTTTATTTAGTACAAAATTTAAAAAAAAAATAGAGAGAAAGCCCTATGGGCTCAGGAGACACACAGCAGGGTATGGAGCGCTCTGCTTTCAGGGCCGGGCTGGGGACCCCTGGAAAAAGTCGTTGCACATGATGGTGACCAGTGCCAGAAATACGGCGTACTCCTGGAAGTCCACCTGCTGGTCGCTGTCCTCATCAAGGTCGCCCATCAGCTTCTTTAGTCCCTCCTCATCCACCTTCTCCTGAAAGTGGCAGGGAGTGGAGTTATTACCCAATTCCTGCCCGACCTACAGCCAAAACCTCCCCTTTACATTAGTATCCACCGTCCCCTCCCCAGTGGGCAGCCAGGTGCACGGTGGCAGGAGACCCCGTGAGGTACCAAGAAGGCCCAGTGAGGAAGGACAGATAGACTATGATGTAAGAGTCTCCACATTGCCAAGTGGTGGTGGCAATGCCTTTAATCCCAGCACTCAGGAAGCAGAGGCAGGTGGATCTCTGTTAGTTCGAGGCCAGCCTGGTCTACAAGAGCTAGTTCCAGGACAGGCTCCAAAGCTACAGAGAGACCCTGTCTCGATCCAGCATGCTTGCTGGAGTGGGGGATGCTGGGTGCTTGGTGTTCCTCAGACTAGGTATGAACTCTAATCTCTGCTAGATCCCAGGTTCATCTTGACGATGAGAAAAATCAAAGCTTACTGCCCCCTACATCAGCTGGCTCAATTCAGAAAAGACGAACTTTTTAATACCAGCCAAAACAATGGGAGAGAATTAACCCTAAATGGAGAAAAAAACAAAAAGTAAGCCCTGCCTCATATTAAGGCCTGAGACCTGAGTCTCTAGGATTACCCGTTAGTTTGTTCAAGACAAGAAGCAAACCGAGACCTAGCTGCACCTCGCTGCCAAATGCCCCAGGGTGCATGCCTTAGCTGGAATCCATTCTTTTTCCCGTCCCTGAGTTTGGGACTATTCCACTAGCAAATAACAAGATTCTACCAATGGACTCTGAAGGCCCCACAGCAGCGTGCTCAGGAATACTGAAGGGGCTAGCCATTGATAAGTCCATTCACACACAGACCTAACTGCCACCCCAGGGACCGGGGAGTGGAAGCTGATGGGGAGATCCTCAGCCCCACCCTGGAACGAACACCAGGATTTACCCTGTGTGTCCACCTACCGCTCCTCGCCTCCCCTTGGTTCCCCTCCTGGCCTGCCTCACTTACCCCCACAAAGCTCGGCAGTTCCTTATGCAAAAGCTCCTTCATCTCCCCCTTGCTGAGTTTGAACCTGTCACCCTCTTGACCAGAGTACTTGTGGAAGGTGGAGACCATCACAGCCAGAGCCTCTTCCAGTGGACTGGACATCTTGAATCTGGAGACACAAAAGAACACCATCGAGGATCTTGGGGCCTCAAGTCCAGTCTACAAGGTCTGCTTCTGCTCCACCAAGCTTACCCTCTCGGAATGGCAAGGCAATGCCTGCATCCTGCTCTGGAAGTGTGCTCCCTGAGGAGCAGGGTTCACACAGCCACTTCACACTGCACTCAGATGTTAAACCTCTCCTGTGGTCTGGAGCCACCTAAAGCAGGACCTCGTATTCTAGGGACACACCTCTTCGGGGAGGCCTCCCTACGTGTCTACGGGAGGCAGAGAGGGGGATGGGAGGAGGCTGCAGGGTGTCTAGAAGCTCAATTTGACTCCTGTCTGTGCCAGGAATGTAGAGCATAAATGTGTCCATGGGCCCCCGGGATTGCTTGGCAGCAGCCATGGGAACAGTCCAAGAGTATGAGGCCCCATGCAGGGGTCAAAGCTTTCACAGATCCTAGTCTCCTGAAGACCGAGTCTCTGCCATCCTTCCGACAGGGACTCTCCTAATGTGACAGGCTGCGAGCTGTGCCGCACATGCTGGTTCTTTGCAGACAGGGAGCAGGATGGAGACAACTGAACACTCTTCCCATCAAGAAGGATTCTGTTGGGGTTAGAACTAAAAAATATTAAATGCCCAGTGTCTTGGGATCGGGCTAGAAGCTGAAGAGATGAGGTCAAAGTTCAGAGGTCACTTTTTCCAAATTCCTCTAAGAATATTGGGTGGGTTCCAGGGTAAGCCCGAGGAGCCAGTGCTGGAGGCAGGGAAAGTTCCCTGCTTCCGCAAGCCCCACCCTCACCCGCTTAGAACAGCACAGTAAGCAGCCTTAGGCAAGACTCTGCCGCTACACTGGCACTGGACCCAGGCGGGGCTAAGCACCGAGACCCTGTCTCTGGCTTCTTATTCCTAATAGATCCCAGTATTGACTGTTTTTGCGACATCTCACTGTGCAGCCCAGTCAGACTGACCTCATGACTTTCCTACCTCAGTCTCCTAAGTGGGGGACTTCAGATACGCTTCATGGCAGTTACATCCGCTTCTCCCCCACATATCCATGGCCTACTCCTAGGCCTAAACCCCAAAAATGAGGCCCTAGACAGGCATATCTAAACTAAGAAACAGAGACCTCAGACCCAGAGATGAGAGAACAGGCCACAGAGTAATCTAAACCCTCGAAGGGGATTCTGGGGAAGGTCCTTCCATCCAAAACTTCACAGAGGGTCTCTTGAAATGGGAAGTCCCACTAGGAAGTCAGAGAAAACTACAAGAACAAGGATTGAGATAGTGGAACAAAGATTGAAACCCAGGTCCTGTGCAGAACAGAGGTACTCACCAGACCAGATGGTGAAGAGACCCAGGAGGGAATACAGCGGCCAAGACACTCAGGGTAGGGATTTATATGCGAATCCTACTGGCCTCCAATTTGTCATTTTTGGGAAACAGAACCTGTCCCAACCTGATCTTGATAAAATCTGGCCTCCTGCCACCCCACACACTTCCTCTTGGCCCATCCCTCTCAGAAAACACTGGCTTCAGCACCAGCTGGAAGAGCCTCCAGTTCCAGCTAAGGGCACCTTGAGCTCATCTGGGCCTCAACATAGAAACAAAGGCATTGTGGGAATGGGGAGCCTGGTCAGGGAAGAGGGGAGGCAGCTTCTGTCCTGGGGCCTAGAGACTCATTCCAAGCCTGGTTCTCATATTATGCCTGTGAGTCACAGTTTCCTCCTGTGTCAGAAGATGCGGGGGACACAGGGTAGGTGGGAACTTCACAGCCTGTATTCATGGATATGTGTGGTGTGTGGTATATGTGTGTGTGTGGTGTGTGTGTGTGTGTGTGTGTGTGTGTGTGTGTGTGTGTAAGAGAGATAGAAAGAGACAGAGAGAAGCTGTCCAGGCACCCTAGAAAGCTGGGGTTCAGAAGAGCAGTGGGAGACATCTAGAGGATATCAGGAGGTCTAAGAAATCTTTTGTTGTTGCTTGTTTTGTTTTGTTTTAAAAGCCTGACACCAGAATCCCTCTTAATGAGATAGGGAGGTGGCTGGGTTTGTTTAAACTACTTCAAAATGAGCAAGGTCAATGGTTCTGTACCAGACCCAGATGCAGTGAGCAGCAGTCTGTGTGAGACGCAAAAGAGGAAAAAAGGGAGACATGAACCTCCTCTTCTTTCTTCTACAGATAGGTGAATGGGTGGGAATGACTCCTCTAGCCAGGGCTGAAAACAGGGGCCTGGACCCAGCCATGGCCCTCACCACCCCACAATGTGTCTTCTCCATGGAGAAGGACACTGTGTCCTTCAACTGGGCCCAAGGGAGAGGTCTTCAGGAAAGAGCTGACCTCAAGACTGCCCCCCTTCTGTTCTTTATCCCATCCTCCCCACTTGGGCACCGCCCTTCCTGTGGGCCCAGCTCTCTTCCCCTACAGACATCAGGCACCCTCTCTCTGCTCCCCCTGTGCTGGGTGACTCACATGGTTCCAGGCTCAGATGCCCAGGTGGTGACTCAGAGGCACACCCTGCTCCCCAAGGCCAGAGAAGCAGCCGGAAACCCCAACCCACAAGTGCCAGCGTGGAGCCCCTCACCAGGCAGCACCAAGGGAGATGAGGATGGTGACCCCACGGAAACCTGTGAGTGAGCAGAATCAGACCCCCAGGTCTCTGCTTTGGGGGCGCTGTGGCAACCAGCTGCAGAGCACAGATAAAGTGGGTCTTGGCTCCTCCAGTGTCCTCTTCTCTGTCTTTGCAAGGCACCCAGAGTCCCCCCTCCTCTCCAAGGCACATGAGTGTCCCCCTCCTCTCCAAGGCACCTGAGTGTCCCCCTCCTCCACCCCTCATGATGCTGCCCTTCCCTTCACAAACTACTTAAGTAGAGGTAAAAACTCTCCACCCCGGGGAGGAGCCCACAGGGAACAAAGTCCTGCCACTCACAGTGACTTCACTTTATTCACATTAAATCCCTCTCCACTCAGAAACTACATGGCGTCTCTTCCGTAAAGTGCCCAGTGGAGCACCCTGCGTGCTAAGTGCGCAGGGAAACACCCTTCGGGCTAACACCCACTGCTTTCCAGCCTCCCTGCCAGTCATGGCTCTCTGAACAAGTGTACAAACACGTGCTGAAGCCAAGGCCCTGCTCAGAATTTGCCCACACCACACCCCCACGTGTGTCTCCTTCTCCTGAGATCCCATCTACCCTTTGAAGGCCACTTGAAAGGGCTCCTCTAACCCAGCTAGACTCCATTTCTACCTGTCCTGGCACATACACCACACTCCCGGTGCCCTCCCTCTGCCTGAGCGTCTCCTTATTTACACAGATCCACTGTGCACTGGCGTTCTCTCACCCTGGTCTTGTGGTGAGCTCACTGATGAATACTGGGTCCTATTCATTTCTGCATGAGCACAGAATCTCGCCCACGCCAGGTGCCTCCCAGCGTTTATGGCTGCTGACTGGCAACAGAGGTCACTGGGGCTGGTGGGTAGGTAGGAGTCAGGGGACTCTCTTTGCTCCCTGCCTGAAAGCACGCCAGTAAATAATAACATCTCCTCTGAGTCCCAGGAGCAGCAATGAGACAGAGTTGGAAAACAGAGCCTCAGAGAGCTACAAATCCCTGAGGAGTGACCACAGGAAACATCCTGCCACTGGGACCCAGAAAAGGACCCAAGTCCCCAGAGGACAGGGATGGAGGCTGACAAAGAGGACAGAGAAACAGTCAGGTGGAAGAGTCAGGAAAAAAAGATTGGAGGAATGGATCAATGAGAACATAATAGTGACAGAGGAACCAGGGAGACAGGGACAAGATGCGAGAGGGGGCTGGACAGAGGCAGCAGGACTTGGACACCTGTTCACATCTCAGACATGCAGGCCACATCTGTGCCCCATCCAATATCTATGCTCCTGAAACTTCCCAAAGCAGACTGACTTGCCTCTGACTTTCTGTGTGACCTTGAGCATCTGCATTTAGAACATCAGGACAGATAACACCAGGTGGATGAGCCCATCCCACCCCAGCTCTCCCCCCCACACACACACTCCGCCCCAATCTGTTCTGACATTCTCCAGCTGAGAATCCAGGGCAGAAGGAGGCGGTGGAGCATCCCAGGCACTGACTGCCCACATCCTGGCCCAGCTGGACCCTCACATTCCATCCACCCCCTCCCAAGCTCTGAGTGCCAGCCCTGGCCGGCTCCGGTTTTGCCTGTCCCTTTTCTGCCTTCTAGTGGTGGAGATTTATCATTGCAGTGCAGCTCGCGGCTCTCCCTCAGGTCCACCAGCAAGCTGTTCCCAAGCCCCGAGCGTGATTCACCAAGGAGGCGGCAGCGGTGATTCATCTCCAAGGAGCCTTCCCACGCCCACACCTGCTTCACATAGAAGGGGTTTCCTGGACAGCCCCTGCTGAGAAGCCTAGGTGGAAGCCCGAAACCGGGAACCTGTTTCAAATGCCTGGGGTAGGATTAGGGGCTGCCAGAGGTGTCAGAAATGAGAACCTGAGCATTGCCCAAGTCACTGCTTTTGGGGGGCAGCTCAGTGAAAAGAGAAATGACCTCACTATCAGCTTCCCAGGTATGTCTGGGTGCTGCCCTGACTCACTCTGCAATGTTGGGTAAGTGGTACCACACCTCAGAGTCTAAACCTCTTTGCCACGAGGATCACTTTTAGTATCCCCTGCACCCTAAAATAAACTTTGAAGTTCTTTTTATCAAACTGCGTGAAGTCATTCACGATCTGTTCTATAAATCTTAGCCGTTGCTCTCCCCTAGCAGCACGGTCATTATCATTACAGGAGAAGCCACGCCTCACATTCTTTTTTTTAATATTTATTTATTTACTATGCATACAATATTTTGTCTGTGTGTATGCCTGCAGGCCAGAAGAAGGCACCAGACCCCATTACAGATGGTTGTGAGCTACCACGTGATTGCTGGGAATTGAACTTAGGACCTTTGGAAGAGCAGGCAATACTCTTAACCTCTGAGCCATCTTTCCAGCCCCCACGCGTCTCACATTGCGGTTCCTAAGAAGTGTGTGCATTCCTGTGGCTGCAGAGGACCTACTGTGTGCCAAGTTCTTCCATAAATTATCCCACCTAGTTCATAAGACAATCCCAGGAAGGTGGACCATCTCACCCTACTTTATAGAAGTGAAAATTGGGACTCCAGGACATGTTCCCACCCAACAAATAAGGGAGGAAAGAAAACTCAAAGACGGGTGATTTTGCAGTGTTAACCGTCTGCGTGCCCCAGCCACCAGTGTTGCCAAGAGGCCTTATGAATAGTTGCTGCTCCTGTCCAGCAAATTAGCCTCAAGTGTCTGCCACACTCGGGTCCAGGAGCCTGTCTTCTCAGTATCTCCACTTCTGGCACCTTTTCCTGTTGACTTCAAATATACTGTGGCCCGAATTTGAAATAAACTAAAAAGCAACCTTTGTGAGCACCCCCACCTTCCAGTAAAGACTGGGTCTTATTTCTGCGCGCAAAGGATCTCACCCACATCAGGTGCTGCTGCGTGACACCGGGGTGGGGGCGGGGATACTAGGGACGGGAGCCCTCCCTCTCCTCACTGCCTGAAAGCCCACCAGTCATTACACCAGCAAATAACGTCTCCTCTGTGTCCCAGGAGCAGCGGTGAGACAGGGTTGGAAAACAGAGCCTCGGAGAGCCACAAATCCCCAAGGAATGACCACAGGAAACATCCTGCCATGGGGACCAGAGAAGGGGAGCTGTGCAGAATCTCCGGGGGGAAGAATGGAGCCTGGAGGCAGACAGATGGAAGAACCAGGCTTCCCGAGGGCCACAAAGAGCACTACCATCCACCCAGTGGCCCAAACCAGACGCTTGGCTTCCTCCCAGCCTCCGCTTCCCCTGGCTGCAAACCAGACGTCTGGTCAGCCTGCTTATTTCTAAGCATGCCTGGTCCCTGGCCACACTGCTTTAGGCCTCATTCTAATCATCTGGTCCTGCTGTTGATGCTCTCCGGCCCCTGCTCCTGGGCCTCACTCCAACCCTCCTCAGCTCTGCCTCCAGGGTGACTCTTGAAAAGTTCAAATCTCTCCAGATTCGGCGAATTCTCACCGCTTTTAGGATACCAAGGCGTGGCATGCTATTCTTGGCACGCTAACTTTGCTGTGGTATATCATACTTTCTCGTGCCCCCAAACCTGCGCCCATGCCCTGTACTCTCGTGGAAAGCCTTCAATGGAGCCACCCACCAGCCTCTGATTTCTTTTCTCTTTTTTGGGGGGAGAGAGGGATTTTATTTATTATTCTATGTGGATGAGTGTTTATCTGTATGTATGTTTGTGTGCTACATTCATATGGTGCCCAAGAAA